GCGACCGTTTCGAAGCGCTCCGGCACGCTCTGACGGCACCCCAGAACGCCCTGGAGCGACTCATCTTTATCCTCAGCCTGCCTGGGCATTCACGGCAAGCGGCGGTCGTAGACCCGTTCATAGCGGAAGGCGGAAGGGGATGGGGGGGGCACTAGGACGACGACGACGACGACGACGACAACGACGACGACGACAACGACGACGAAGGACGACGAACGACGACGACCCCCAAGAGGCCCGAGGAGGCCCCCAAGAGGCCTCCAACAAGCTCCCAGGAAGCTCCGAAGAGGTCCCAAGAGTGCCCCAAGAGGCTCCCAAGATGCCCCCTCCTCTTCCTCCTCTTTTTTTTTGCAGCAGCGCACATGCCCCTGAAATGACTGGCCTGTCCACATCAGCCAGAGGCGCACTGGATGGGCACGTTAACTTACCTGTAATCTATAACAACGGGATGAATTCGTCAATGTCAACAGACACACCCTCCTCATTAGGGCGCAGGCCTCTGCGGAGACGGCGCATGCTCTTCACGCCCGTCTTCGTCGGCGGTGCGCATTTGCGGCCCAGGCCTAGGACTTGTCCATCACCGCTATAGAACTTGCACGACATGCACAAGAACAGGTGGCCACCGTCACTGCAAGGGAAGGCAACGACACGGTGGCCAGTCTCTCCAACGGCCCCTGGTCCAAACGAGACTGCCCAGGGCACGAGCCTCCAAAAGGCTTGGACAACGCCCGCGACCCACGGAGACACACCCGACAACGCCAGCACAAGCCTTGTTGGGACCAGTCCTGGACGAGCCCCAAAACAGGAGACACAGAGGCTGGCAACGGCGGGAAACGCTTCAAACCTCTGAACTCAAGTTTCGGCCAAAGCGGCAAGAGCCCAGCACCCACAAGCAAGACCGCTCGCGTGACTTTGATCTGATGGTTCAAAACTTCGTGCTCTGAAGGAGACAGATCAGGGCTTCTTTAGCAGAGACACCAGCGTAAAAGTTTACTTGGCGCAGACATCGTTCGCGCTCCGAGATACCCTCTTCGCGGAGGTCTCCGCGGACATCAACCTTTGAGATCGACTCGAGGTTGGTCCAGAAAAAACGTCTCGCTTGAATGATCCGCCCTGCATACTGTCGCTTGGCGCTGATCCCATCAGCAGGACCTAGATTCATCAAATGAACTACGCTCGCACAATCAGAACAACATGGGGCGGGGCGTTCGGTCTGGACAGAGGCCCAAGCAAGGGCCCAAAACTCAGCTCCTTGGGGGGCCTGAGGCCACGGAGCCCACAAGGGACCTTTTAAAACCCCGAGGCGATCGCCCGAACCAGAGACCAGCACCACGGCCCAACAAGCCAGAGATAGCTCACGAACAATGTGCCCGCGACACGAACCGCCCGTAAAAAAAAGGTGCCCCCAGAGCCCCGCGGAAGGAGGGGTAGAGGGCCAACAGCAGGATTGGCAGGGTCGGGAAGGGCGCCCGTGAACCACTCCAAACTCGTACCACCATCAGCGAGCGGCGGAGGGGCGCTGCAGGCTCCGTAGAGGCGCAAGCACATGTCCACACGGTGCTCACCTAACTCAAGAGCTGCCCCCCGAATACTTTTGCCCAACACAGCCTCTCTGACATCCTGCACACAGGGGCACGCGCACAGCCAAGGGAACAAGGAGTCGCGGGCCGCGCCGCACAACCCGCCCTCGTCATTAAACTCGTAGCATGCTGCCGCGACGTCGCTCGCAGTCCATCGCGCCTCGGCGGCCCGAGCTCGAACCCAACCTTTCGTTTGCCCCGAAACCTTCTTGGAAGACAGGAGCTGTTTGACCACATCCCAAAGTCTGAAATCACAGCCACACTTGTCCCCTGAGCCCCTTTTCCAGACCCCTCAAAGCCGCCCCCTTGCAGAACAGCTTGGCCAGCTTGGGGGGCGAAAGGGCGAGGGGGATCTCACGGCCGAAATCATTGATAATAATGCAAAAATTAGGCATGGTCCAGTCGAGCCTATAGAGAGACATCCTAAGCGCAGAGATCGGCCCCGAGACAGAGGACCAAGAATGCTTATCAAAGGAAAAAACCGTTTGCTAACCTTCTCTAAGCTCAGCCCAGCTAATAATCCATGGGAAAGCCTGAGTGCGCAGGGTCCAAACCTCCTTGACCCATCGGATGATGGGTGCACAGCTACACCGCCACGTGGGATCATCCGCGAGCAGACACAAGACGCTGGGAGATCCCCCCTGAGCTCTAGGCTTCACCGTGGACATGGCCATTCGCCTAAGGTCAGAACCATAGATGGCCCCAGCAATGGGGCAATGGGGCCCAGCGGCGAAAATACGCAAGCACTTGCGCCCCAGGGCCTCGGCGAGGCCCTTCAGGCACTTGGTTTTCCTCCGAGCCGCCGCAGCTCGAGCCGTCAACTCAGCAGATCTGCCTTTGCCTCTCAGCGGCCTGCCAAAGGTAAAGTCGAAACCAAGATTGGCCACCCGAGAGCAAGCTGGACCGACACGGGGGCCTAACTCTCGCGTCAAACGCCTCGATACATCAAGAGAATTACAGACCACACCAACTTTGGCCATCGCCAGCGTGCACTCCAGCGTGCTGGCGATGACTTGGTGAAGCGCCTTCGCTCCAGCAGCAAGAATAGCTACGACCACCTTGGTTGATCCAGCGCAGCTAAGGCTCATGTCGCCCACATAAGCGTCGAAGCCGGCACTCTTGCCAGGGGCCCTTGGGACTTGGGCGAGGGCCTGATCAAAGGCCCCCATCGCAAACACACGGATAAGGCTGGTCGCAAAGGAGCACCCAGCCACCAGGCCCACGGCCACAAAAACCGGCCCCTGGATGATGCCCCCCAACGCAAGGAACCTGGCACAAGAGTACGCTTGAATGGCCCAGCGTGCCAGCTGGAGCGGGAAATGATGCATCTGGCACTGGTGCCCGAGAAACCTAAGGTCGGTATGCTCATAGTACTTCCGAAGATCCCAAAAAATGGCCGCCGGGGTGTCTCCCCGCCTGGTTCCCGCTTCACCTCTGAAGGCCTGCTTCCAAACAACGCCCCCGCTCCCCTGTGGGCCCCCGCGGCCCAGTACCTGCGGGGGCGCCTCAGATCCCACAGCAACTCTTCATGCCTACGGGCACGACCCCAAACACGGTAGAGGCTGGGGAAAACCCTCCGGAATCCCCCAGTCGGCTTGGCCAGAAGGGCCATGAGGACCCAAGACAGCTGACGGGGGAGGGGCCCAGTGGCCCCCCAAACAGCAAACCACAACGCAAGAGCCGCAAAGCCTCATTGGGAAGTAAACTGAAGCGGCGGCAATGAAAATCATCGACACTGACCGCAGAGCCAGGCCTATACTTCGCAGAGACAGCTCGAATCTCAGCAAGCTCCAAAGCGCGGGCATGGGGGAGAAGGTCGCGTCCAACCCCACCCCCCGAGCCCGAGCCCCACATAGCTGCGAACATGTCGCCTTCAGCCCGAAGCGACGAGACTGGGTCGCAAACGATGGTCCCGCAACGAGACACAGCGGTAGTCGGCTTCCAAGGCTCTAGGTCCCCGGTCGCTTTTCTGCGCGCTGCGACCTCCAGCATCAATGCCCTTCCTCGCCCACTCGCGCCACTCCTTCCGCGACTCCGTCGCGGATGTGGCCTCAGCAGCGGAGGCAGCGAGCGCAACCTGAGCGATCAGGTCGCCAAGATCCGAAAGCAAGTCTAGATCAAGATCAGGCAGCAGGGCGCATCTAGCCGAGGCCCCGCCGGCTCTGAAGAGAAGGGAGAAGTCCGCGCGCTCTTTCACCGCCACAGCCCCTGGAGGTTGGATGATCGAGTTGAGCACCTGGCGCCCAGCATCCTGCGGGGTCGATTCAGAGAGGTAGCACATAACAGCTCGCAACTGGTTGCACAGCCACTGGATAGCACGCAAGTCAGGCTGCTTTTCTCGCCCGCGGGTTTCAGAACAGACTTCCAGTAAACTTGCGAGAGCTAGCCCCTCATCCCCAGGATTTTGAAATCGGACCCCAGGGCGCGCACCAAGCCCTTCTCCGCAGGATCCGCCCGAACCTTGCAATCCGGATTGAAATGTCCGCGGGCTTTGGTCCCATCCCCCGCCCCCACCGCCCCAAACGCTTCGTCGGCCTAGCTAAGAGCGGCACCCTACGAGCCAGGCCGAGGGGCAGGGCCAAAGGGCGCCATGACAGGCAACGAAGGGGGCTGGCGGAAGGCGAGGGCCATGAGATCCCCGAGGGAGCTATGAAAACGGATCGACACAGGACGGCGAGGGGCGAGGCGAGTGTCATCTGAAACCCCGACACATTTCAAGCAGAGGCTCAGGGCCTCGGAAACCACAAAGCTAATCAAACCGATCAGGGGCCCCCCTACCAGGGAAATGCGCATGTCCCTCAGGAACCACCAACGAGGCTCTGAGACGACTGGCAAAGCTAGAGGACTCCAGGACCCCTGGACCCATGCCCCAGTCAGCTCCCACAATAAACTCACAGCCTAAATGATCCAAAAACCCGCCCACAACACGTAAAATCTCTAGGTTCGAATCAGAGAGACCTTCGCCGTGGACGAGGTAGAGGCTGCAGACTCACATCGGGGCGCAATCCGGCGCGTGCACCATGGTCGCCACAGCCCTGTCAGCACAAAAAGTAGCGCGACCCCCAGCTTCACAAAGGCCGAGGCCATCGCGAACACAAACGCATACACCCGATGAAACACCTCCCCCTTCCCCAGCTACTCCAGGAGCCCAAGGTTTTCCAGCCCGGGAACTTCGATGCTTTCGAGGCTTGGTCAAGTGCCCCCGAATCCGACAACCGATGCTCCTGCGCGAGCACCACATGGGCCTGCGAGGTGGCGAGGTAATATTTTAGGGTGCCCCAGGAGTTGACGTTGACAGTGGTGACCAAGAGCCCCTCGTCAAGCCTGATCGCGCACTCAGAGACCGCACCCTGGGCAGCTTGGGTTCGAGCTGGGGCCGCTGGCAGACCTTCAAGGGGACGCATACAGGACCAGGCCCTCACCGGGATCGCACCAGAAAAAGAGGCATCGGATTGCGGCAAGCCCGCGACTGGCTGCTCCGCCAACGGGGTCTCGCCAGTCTTCACACCGCGCGTTTTCCCGACCGCGCCATGCAGAGGCAGAGAGGAGATGCGAGAGGCTCCCAGACGATCTGGGGGCACCCGAAATTCAGAAGGCAAAAGAGGGGGCGTCAAAAGAGATCCCGACAGCCGCATGGCCGAAGGCACCCTTGAGGCACCTAAATAACCGAATCCCTGAGGCCTGAGACCTGGAGCAAATCACAGACACTCTCGAAGCTATGGTTTAATTTTTTCTCATATTTAAAAGTCCCAGGAGGGCTCGGGCCCCCACTCTCTGACACTTGCCCCCTGCCGCGCGCGCGCGCGACTGTGGCAGGGGGCGGAGATCCCTTGAGAGCCTGGTCAACCCTGGTTCGAATGTCCTCAGAGGCGGCAGCATCCTCGGCTGCCGAGGCAGACTGCGCTGAGACAGAGGCACCTTCAGAAGCCGCCCCAGGTTCAGCAGGAGCTGCGCCAGCAACCTCACCTGCACCAGCTCCACCTGCAGCAGCTGCTCCTTCAGCGACCTTACGCTTCTCGGCAGCAAGCCGTATACAATGCGCTGCATGCTGGTCTCGAAGTTTTTTGGCATGGCCCGCCACCTGCGCAAAACAAAAAACCATCGCAAGCTTCGTGACTCCTGAAGACAGCTCCTCCCTGCGCCGCTGGAACTGCTCCACGCCACTCGCCTCGACCTCCGTCCAGGATGCGACTGCAGTCGGTGAACTTGGAGAGGTCAACTGAGCCAGCAACCAAGCTTGAATGATCCGACCGCGAGGTTCCTCCTCAGACTTGTGCAAGCCCTGCAAAGCGACAAGCGAAGCCTTGTAGTTAGCGTCCGCCTGGTTGACTTGGTCTCGAATCGTGCGCAGTGGCCTCCGCCTCTCCAAGTTGTTCACGCAAGCGCACGGCCTTACTGAAAGTCTGTTCCGTTTGCTTCCCGAGCCGCCGAACGGTGGAATGAGCCCGTTGCATGCGGGTGTGCTCCGAAATAACGACAGGCTTAGCTGCCGCCTCCAGATGACGCGCCATGCCCAGGCACTTGGAAGCAGCTCCATGATCCCCCGCTTCTTGGAGCGACTCGCCTGGCGACTTGGTCTCAGCGGCGGAGATGGACGGCACTGGTCCCACAGGAAGTGGCGGGGGGGCACCTCTCCCAGAAACATCTCCCCGCTGTGCATCATCATGACGGGCCAGCGCAGCCCACATTGAGGGCCCCCCCCCCGAAATACCCTTGACCTTTGCCTTTGCCGTTGCCAAGAACACCACCTTTGCTTTTTGCCACCGAACGAGCCCTTGTTGTCCACGCCCTTGGAGCCGAAGCCATTCCCGTACCAGTAGCCAGGAGGACCAGCGAGCGCCCAGCGCCTGTGGACAACATGACCAGGAGCAGGAGACAAAGACGGAAGCGCGCAGGCACAGTTCTTGCAGTACTCGACGTTGCCACTGTTCTTCTTGCAACAGCAATTGGGGCACACCATACCCTGCGGCCCACCACGACGACTGCCTTTTGTGACCCATGGCTCCTCAGCTCTTTGTGATTTGACCCAAAGGCGCGAACAAGAAAGAATGGGCAGGCGCCATCGCAATGCAGAAGTAAAACGGTGAAAGAGAGGAGTTCCTTAAACGGGGCGTCTTGAGATAAGAGCCAGGCGGGCGGACGCCTGGGAAAGCAGTGGGGGCCGCAAATCCCCCTGGCCACAATGCCAAGCCCTGAGCGAAACACTACGGGCTTGAGCCAAAATGGCTACGGAGCCCTCTTCCTCCTCCTCCTCCTCCTCCTCCTCCTCCTCCTCCTCCTCCTCCCCCTCCTCCTCCTCATCATCCTCTTCCTTTCTTACTCTTACTACTAGTATTACCAATATCCTCCTCATCATCCTCCTTTTCCTTATTCATATTATTATACCTGTTGTACATAATCGTAGTACCATCATTACTTATATGAGTTGTCCTTATTATTTTCTTGTGCTCATGGGTATGCTTAGTAAATAATATTCCTACGATTGGCCGTCTTCTTATTATTAGTAACAGTAGTATTCTCAGTAATAGTAGTCGTAGCAGTAGTAGTAATAGTAGTAGTAGCAGCAGCAGCAGCAGCAGCAGTAGTAGCAGCAGCAGCAGGAGTAGTAGTAGTAGTAGAAGTAGTAGTAGTAGTAGTAGTAGTAGTAGTAGTAGTAATAGTAGTAGTAGTAGTAGTAGTAGTAGTAGTAGTGCTCGAGTAGTAGTTACTAGTTAGTACTAGTAGTAACTAGTAGTAATAGTTGTATATTAGTACTATAGTTTACCTATAGTTACTAGTACTAGTACTAGTACTAGTACTTAGTAGTAGTAGTAGTAGTAATAGTAGTAGTAAGTAGTAGTAGTAGTAGTAGTAGTTAGTAGTAGTAGTAGTAGTAGTAGTAGTAGTAGTAGTAAGTAAGTAGTAGTAGTACTATTAGTACTATTAGTAGTAGTAGTAGTACTAGTACTAGTACGAGTATTAGTAGTAGTAGTAGTAGTAGTAATAGTAGTAGTAGTAGTAGTAGTAGTAGTAGTATAGTTAGTTAGTAGTAGTAGTAGTCGTAGTAGTAGTAGTAGTAGTAAGTAGTAAGTAGTAGTACTAGTAGTACTAGTAGTACTAGTAGTTACTTCAATTACTACTAGTACTAGTACTACTACTAGTACTAGTAGTACTAGTACTAGTACTATGTACTAGTTACCAGTACTAGTAGTACTAGTACTAGTAGTAGTAGTAGTAATTAGTAGTAGTAGTAGTAGTAGTAGGTGTAGTAGTAGTAGTAGTAGTTAGTAGTAGTAGTAGTAGTAGTAGTAGTAGTAGTAGTAGTCTTACTCCTCCTCCTCCTCCTCCTCCTCCTCCTCCTCCTCCTCCTCCTACTCCTCCTACTCCTCCTACTCATCATCCTCCTCCTCCTCCTCCGCCTCCGCCTCTCTTGGGACGTGTTGTAGCGATCTCGAACTTCTGTGGGGTCCTTGCAGAATGTTTTGGAACTCTTGGGAACCTCTTGGGGCTTCACGGGGGCCTATTAGGGTCTCTTCGGGGCCTCTTGGAAACATCCCAGGGCCATGTCGGGACTGTCTCGGGGCCCTCTTGGGCCGGATTGGGGCTCTGTTGGGGGGCCTCGTGGGCCGTCTTGGAACGTCGGGAAGCCGAAAGGGGGAGAACTCCCAAATCCCCCATAAACCACCCGAAAATCAATAAATTTCGCCTCTAAGGGCCCTCCTGGGAGTGCTCCTGGAGGCCTCTAAGGACGTCCCGGAACGAGCTTTGGGGGTATGACGGCTCCTTTGGGGTCGTCGCCGACCGTCTTGGGGCTCTCTGGGGTCGTTTCGGAAGTGCACAGGAACGTCGAGGGCCCTCTGCGGCCGTCTTCGGGCTCTCGTGAGGTCCTCCCAGGTCGTCTGGGGGGCTGCCCGAAAGGCCCAGGGTTGGCCAAATTCGTTTAGGGGGGAGGCGTTTTTTTTCCTTGGGTCCCCGGCCCAAGTAAAATATATAGCAAGTAAGATGTGTGTGTATACAAATATCAATGTTTATGCATACATATATATATATACAAAATTGTGTAAGAAATATGAACATGTGTAGACATATGTATATATGCGCATATACATATAAAATTAAAATATAGATGTATCATAAGCCTATGTCATAGCTCATATACGGAAAGCTACGTGTGTGATGGTATACGTATACTCAACGTACGCAGTGTAAACTGTCCCGAATCGCACACAACACAACTGATGTAATGCAAATTCTCACACAGCTTGTGTTTTGACTGAGTGATGTGGCCTCGACGGTCATCTATGGTACCCATGGCCAGGTGCCTTCGGAGTAGATGAGGTCCCTCGAAAGGTCCCCACGATGTCAAATCTCTGGCGAGGGACTAGGAAAAACAGCTCTCCTGCAAGGCATGAAGCCGAAGTGGAAGAAGCCCGGCTTATCGTGGTTGTCGCCTCGCGACGGCAAAGGAAATTCCACCCCTCGTCCCTCGACTCCTGCGTGTCTCCCACTGCAACCCTCCCCACCGAACAGCCCTAGCACCGAGCACGCGCATATCTCCCCCCAGGCTGTCGTTGACAGCGCTGCCCGAATAATTACCTCCCGCAGTGGATACCTGGAGACGGGATTGCTGCATCCCGCCCGACCCAGCGGCACAGCGCAAACTCCAGGTTGTTCGACAAGCGTGGAGAGGTAGATCACGTGGGGGTGTAGGAGCGGGGTGGATCGCTCGAGGGGGGTGGGTTCGGCGGGGGGGGACCGCTTGAGGAAGGTGGGTTCGATGAGGGTGGTGAGGGAGGGCGGAAGCGGTGGCGATGGAAAAGGGGGAGGATCGAAAGAGGGGGGTGGATCACTTCCACGAGGCGTGAGGGGGGGGATCGCTTGAAAGCGGTGGGACTTGTGGGCGTGGGGGTGGGGGGCGGAACGGGCCGTCGGGCCGAGTGGCAGGGGGGGGGGAGTGTCAACAACCTGGGGAGCATGCCTCCAGTCGAACCCCGTGGCCCAAGCAGACCGCTTGCGGCAGGCTCCCACCTCGACGACGCGCCCCTGACCAAGCCTCCGCCGACGGGCTCCCTCGGAGGCTGCCGGCCCCATCTCTCCTGTGAGTTCCGCGCCGTGGGGTTGCTGCCTGCGGGCCCCGAGCCACGGGACGGGCCCCGGGGGGGCGTTCCACACGCAGAGGGAATCCCTGAAGGGCATCGAGCGGGGGGGCTGGCTCAAGGGGGGGGGGCCACTGGCCCGAAATCGGCGGCACATCGCCGAGAGATCCCGACGGGCCCCAGGCAGCGAGACCGCGCACGCTCCTCCTGAATGGGGCGGGAGGCCGTGGGCCTGTTTGGCTGTGAAAGGACGACTGGAGGTACTCCAGATTTCACAATAAAAGGGGGGTGGTCTGATTTCGGATGGGGTCAGATTTGAGCTGTCTTGGAGGGTTCCAGTGGGTC